TCTCCGTGCCCTTGAATCGGTGGAGGAGGCAGCCGTTCCTCATCAGAGGAGATCTGCCTATCAGCACCACTACCTGTCAGCAGCCGATCCGTGTCTGTGAAGGCAAGCAGCTCTCCGTCTGGTCGACCATCTCCCCCAATGCCCGAGGAGCCTGGGACAGCACCGTCCTCACCCCCTGGCCTCTCCAAACATGCCAAAGGAGATGTGCCATCTCTGTGAGATGGTCCCGGTTCCAACTCCTCCTCCTTCGAACCAGGCTCCGATGGGGCCACGACAGTTTTGGTTCTCCATCACTGGAGGTTTTCAAGAAGAGATCAGACAACCATTTGTCTGAAATGGTATAGAGTTTTCTGCTTGAGCAGGAGGTTGGACTAGAAGACCTCCAAGGTCCCTTCCAAATCTGTTGTTTTGTTAGTTCAAAACTTAGTTGTTAAATCTAGAGTGAAATCTGAAGTGGGGTGGCAGCAAGGCTAGATCTTGGGTTTTGTATACTTCTACGTTGGTTCAATTATTTGGGTGAAAAGGTGGGAGAAAGGCTTGCTAAATTTGCAGTTGAAAAACATGAGTGGGACAGTTCCTATTCTGGAAAACAATCACTGCATTCAAAATATCTTGATAAGTAGATCAGCTGAATAACATCTAGAGCTGAATAACACCTAGTAGTGACCAATGCAAAACTCTTCCCTCAGGAAACCAAAATAAAATGCACAATTATAAGATGGGAGATAGAGGATCGATAAGAGGATTTGTGGAAAAGATCTCAAAACAGTTGTTGACTGCAAACTGCATATGAGTCAGCAGAGAGATAAGACTGCAAAAAAATGTAACTACAGAGTTTTGCATTGGTCACTACTACTAGGTGTTATTCAGCTCTAGATGTTATTCAGCTGATCTACTTATCAAGATAATTTGAATGCAGTGATAGAAGCATCATCCCCAGATCAGTGTATTCTTCACTGATACATCACTTTCAGTGTTGTGTTCCTTTCTGGGCCCCACATTTTAAAGATTCAGAGAAATTATAGCAGATACAGGAAAGGGTAAGTCTTTAACTTACGACCACAATTGGGACTGGAATTTTGGTCGTAACTCCTGATAGTCATACATTGAGGCTCCAGGTGACTGAACCCAATTTTACAACCCTTTTTATGGCACTTGTAAGTGAATCATGTTGGCCATAAGTCCAAATCCATTCTCCTAAATGGGTGTTTTTTGCCAGAAATAAAAGAAACCCGCAAAAAAATGTCACAAATCATGATCATCATCAGAGCATCAAAGATGATCAAGGATCTGGGAGGCTAAACTGTACAAGGAATGGTTAAGGGAACTGGATATGTCTAGTCTAATGAAGAGAAGGACTAGGGGGTGACATGAAAACTGTCTTCCAGTAGTTGAAAAGCTGTCACAGAGAAGAGGGGCTCAATCTATTCTCCAAAGCACTAGAGGGCAGGACAAGAAGTAGTGGATGGAGAATTATCAAAAAGGGATCCAACCTGGAACTAAAGAGAAATTTCCTGACAGTAAGAAAATTAATCAGTGGACAGCTTGCCTCCTGAAGTTATGGATGTTCCATCGCTGGAGGTTTTCAAGAAGAGATTGGACGGCCACTTGTCTGGAATGGTATAAGGTCTCCTGCTCCAGCAGGGGGTTAGATTAGAAGACCTCCACGATCCCTTCCAACCCTATGATTCTAAGATCTGGTTTGGCTAGGGCTAGGCAGAAGAGAAAAGTAATTGATAGGCCTTGGATAGTCTGTCTTTCGTTACTGTCCCTGAGATGACAATTTTGGGAACTAGTTTCCATATATCAGTGATCTAGGATTTGTAGGGAAAAAAACCTCCCACTAAATCTTGGCTTAGAATTGTGACTACAGGTAGTCCTCGAGTTAACAACCATTTTTAGTGAAGGTATAACAGCACTGAAAATAGTGATTAATGATCATTTTTCACACTTAGGTCATGTGTTCACCTTTTGCAACCTTCTGACAAGTAGAGTCAATGCGGAAGCCTGATTCACTTAACAACTGTATTACTAGCTAACTGCAGTGATTCACTTAACAACTGTAGCAAGAAAGGTCGTAAAATGGGGCAAAACTCACTTCTTCTGTCTTGCTTAACAATAGAAATTGTGATTGTACGTCAAGGAATACCTGTACCAGATTTTCAGAAACATTTTTATTCCTCATGATGGAAGATACTTGTAGAAATCTTGTTAACCAATGTCTTCATCCATTGTGGTGGCCAACCGCTTACCACAGCCTTTTCAACCTGTTTTCGCTTCACGTGAGTGTACTTCAACTCCCAGAATCCACCAGTGAGCCACACTATTGCTTGAGATAGGACATTGCTGCCTGAGGAATTCTAGAAGTTGAAGTCCAACCATCTGAAAGTGGCTAAAATTGAGAAAAATTAAAGTTGAAATCCAAGCATCTCTTTGGAGAAAACTCTCCTTGGGGTATCTCCTTTCATCCCTGGTGAGGCAAGGCTATATGTTACATGAAAAACAATCCAGTGATGGCATTCATACATAAGCAGGAATCCCAGGTGTAATAAACCATGAAACTCTAGATAACCTAATTACTTCCATTTTCTTCTTTCTAGTAGGTACTATGTCATAATAGTGTCAAAGAAGAGAATTTTGTACACCACCTTAACACAGCTTTGTGGATAGGAGTGCTCAAACAATGAAGCTAGTTAAAATGAAGGCTTGTTTTTTAGGAATCTTGGTTTCCTTGGGTGTGTTTAACCCAGTAGCCTGGTTTTGGGCATTCTGTGAAGCTTTTCTGTGTCTGGTTATGTCATGTACTGTAAAAATAGAGAAGTTGCACGTATATACATGCAGCTATCTTACATTGTGGGATACAAACGCCACAGATTCCTTTCCTGTTATGTGTTGATGGTTCTTCAGAAGGCTCCCGTGGAGAGGAACAGAGAGGGCTAGAAGAGGGTCATACAGCTGCAAGCTCTTTTCCTCTACTTATTGTTTCCCAGCTATTCCACCACCAAGTCTCTTCAAAAATTAACATGTCAGGAAGATAACAGAGATGGGGTAGATGGAGAACAGCTGCTGTGATCCCTTTTCATTTGAACTGGAGAGTCCTTCTGAAAGTTAAATTATCCCAGTGTTGCAGAATGGAGCGTTGGGTCAACTTTCCAGCCAGGCAGCCTTGCCCTTGTTGTAGAGACTCCATTCCTTGACTATTTTCTTATTTTGTTTTTTGTATGCCTCTAGCAAATTCTTTGCATTCCATGGCCTTTCAGCTTACTCCATCTTCATTAGACCATTTGGGAGGGTTGCTCCTTCACCTCCTTTCTTCTCTTAAAAGTTTGTTCTTCTGCAAACATTTGGTTTCCCCTGAGTCTGCTTGATATTTCTCTCTTGTGGCTCAGTAGCCGTATTTTGTGCTCTTTCCTGGTGGCATTCCTGCTAAATTCAGTGCTAGGAGGAGAATTAGATTTCATGTATGGCCTTCATCAGTTTGACTAGCATATTCTCTTCCAGTTTTTTTCTCTTCTGTCTGTGGCCATTTTCGGTGATGAAGACTAGAACTTTCACCTGTAGGAACCCGTCTGCATCTTGAGTTACTTTACAAAACAGATTACATGCTAACTACATTGTGTGAAAAGCCCAAGCCATCTTAGGACAGAATAATTAAAGAGAACAGCCATGCTCAGATGTGGAGAGAGTCTTCAAAAGCTGGCGGTTTTTAAATGAAAAAGGACGATATGCATTCCCTGAAAAGAATTCTGTGTAATAAGTAGCCAGGCTCTACATAGCTCAAGGAATATGAGATTCATACAGTGGCTAAGTAAAATATGCTGAGTTTGGTTTGCTTTAGCATGCTACATGAACTCAACTGTCATGGTCGGCAAACTGATTTTTGCATTAGTGCAAGGGTATCCAACCTTGGCAACTTTTTAAGATTTGTGAACTTCAACTCCCAGAATTCCCCAGCCAGAATTCTGGGAGTTGAAGTTCACAAGTCTTAGAGTTGCCAAGGTTGGACCTCCCTGCCTTAGTGTGTGGGATGCACTCAGCCAATTCTAGTTTGTCAACAAACCAATAACCAAGGGTAATATATATATATATAGTAAAAGTGTGCTAAAATGGCAGTTCGGCTGAACGTCATATTGAATGACGTGGAGAGCTAAGAGGCTCCTACAGGAACCAAAGGAAATCAGCTGGCACACAAAGGGACCTAGCTGGTTTGTGAAATCTGGGAAGAAAAACAGATTTCCGTCAGTGTGTATATACTGTATGTGTGGGAGAGGGAGAGAGAAAGAGATGGCCTAGCATACAGCCAAGATCAGCCAAGAAAGCTTGCTCTGTGGAACTCAATCTTGGCTTATCTCCCACTGCAGCTTTAGAGACTGGAGATGCAGTTGTGTACTCTCAACCTTCACAGGAAGGGGTCTGTTCAAGAAACTATGAGGAAGGAAAGGAAAAGAACTGGAGAAGTTGATTTCCAGGGTTATGTCAACAGGTGACCTCAGAAGTTGCCAGAGAGGATTTGTGTCCCGTGACATCTGTGGTGCCACCCTTGATTACTTTAAGCCAGAGTATCGAGGTGTGCCTTCCCTCTTCTTCCTGCTCATAACCTTTCAACTTCCTATTTAGAAGCAAAATTTTGTGACTACTCAGCATCACACTGATCTAGTTATTATTTATCCTGTTCTCACCACTGCCTGAGAGTTCACATCCACTGCATGGAAGATAATCCACAATCTCTGATGGTCCCCCCTTCCCCCCAATGCTGTGCAAGTTTCTCTTCCAGTCCTGTGGTTCCCCCCCCTTCTTCTCCTTGTAGTATGACACAATAGGTTAAGACAGGAGTGGCCCTTTTTGAATAAATACTCCAAGGTTGTTTGCTTTGGGCGGGAAGCTTCTCAGCGGCTTTGCTGAGGACCATCTGTTGCACCAGAGGCCGTTAAGAAATGATGGGGAGGATTAAACTCTCATTTTGTGTTTGGGTGATTTGTTCCCTTTTGTTTCCTGTCCAGGGGTTGGCAAAAGTAGCCTTCTGTTCCGCTTTGCAGATAACACCTTCTCAGGTAAGGAACTGCCTCCTGCATCAATGATCATTGGATGGGTTGGGAGACCTGATTCTTGCTGTGCACCAAAAATGCTGCAATAATGAGTCCAGCCCAGTCCAGGTCAAGCATCTTTGGATAATATGGATTCTTGGCTTTAACATCTCATTTTTAAAAGCAGTTGCTACATTGTAATGGGCCCACTAGAGAAGACTATTTTAATGCAAAGATGCAAAAAAAGCAGGATAGCTGCGCTGGTCTGTGAAATGCAAAAAAATCACAATGCCCAACTGGGCAATTAGGAGGAGCAGAAATTCCACAAACGAGCCTGTGAGTTTCTCAGATATTTTTCTCAGGTCTGTTCCGAAGAATGTAGAGCAGTGGTTCTCAACCTTCCTAATGCCGCAACCCTTTAATACAGTTCCTCATGTTGTGGTGACCCCCAACCCCCCATCCAGCTGGCCGGGGAGGGGGGGCAGGAAGGCCGCTCCGCTGGCTCCGCCCAGCCTGGTTGGAGAAGCGCCCAGGCGTGGAGAGGGGGAGAGAGAGCGAGAGAGAGAGAGAGCCAAGAGGGTGACAGCGCCGGCAGAGCTTAGTTCAGCCTCCTCCACGGAAAGGGCCACGAAGCAGCGCCGCCTCCCTTAGGACAGGGGTAGGCAACCCAAAACACTCAAAGAGCCACTTGGACACGTTTCCCACCGAAAACAAAACACCGGGAGCCGCAAAACCCTTTTGATATCTAAAATGAAGATAACACTGCGTATATCCTTTTTTACCTTTAATGTATGTATGTATGTATGTATGTATGTATCTGTGTTTGTGTGTGTATATGGCCTAAGGGATTTTAAAGGGGTTTTAATTACTTTTAAATTTGACGTATCTAAATATTTCTTTTTAATCAATTTTTAATTAGATGTATATGTTAGTATTTTAATCATTGTCAGCCGCCCTGAGTCCGCAAGGAGAAGGGCGGGATATAAATGCAATTAAATAAATAAAATAAATATAAAATAAATATATAAAATAAAGGTAAACAAGGATATATGCAGTGTTATCTTCATTTTAGATGTCAAAACGGTCTCTCTCTGTCTCTCTCTTTCCTTTCTCTTTCCTTTCTCCCCTCCCTCTTTCCTCTCTCTCTTTCCTCTCCCTCTCTCTTTCCTCTCTTTTTTCTCTTTCCTCTCCCTCTCTCTCTCGTGCCTCTTTTTCTCTTTCCTCTTTTTCTCTCTTTCCTCTCCCCCTTTCTCTTTCCTCTTTCTCTTTCCTCTCCCTCTTTCTCTCTCTCCCTCTTTCCTCTTTCCCTCTTTCCTCTCTTTTTCTCTTTCCTCTCCCCCTCTTTCTCTCTTTCCTCTCACCTTTCTTTTTCCTCTTTCTCCTCTCTTTCCCTCTTTCTCTCTTTCTCTCTCTTTCTTTCCTCTCTCTTTCTCTTTCCTCTCTTTCTCTTTCTTTCCTCTCTCTCTTCTCTCTCTTTCCTCTTTCTCTTTCTCTCTGTTTCCTCTCTCTTTCTCTTTCTCTCTCTTTCCTCTCTCTTTTCCTCTGTTTCTCTCCCTTTCTCTTTCTCTCTTACGGCAGCATCGTTGGGGGTCCCCGCTGCCCCCGGCCCGGCCTCCGCCGCGTCCTCAGCCGAACAGGCGGGGAGGGGGAGCAGGACGTGAGGCAGCGGCTCCGGTGGCGGCGGCGGTGGCATGGCTGCATCGTCACGGGTCCCCGCCGCCCCCGGCCCAGCCGCCGCCNCCGGCCTCGCCCTCCGCCCATCTGATGGAGCCGCGGTGGGGGCTGGTGCCGCGCGGCCCCTGCCAGCCCCTCCGCAAGCCCGGCTGCTCCCCCCCAGGCACCCCTCTTGTCCTGGCACCCACCCGAGCCACCTGGGGGGCAGCAGGAGGAAGAAGGGGAGGAGGAAGAGGAGGGCAAAGAGATAGAGGAGCGGTGTCTCGGTTCCTAAGACCATCGGAAATATGTGTTTTCCGATGGTCTTAGGCGACCCCTGTGAAAGGGTCGTTCGACTCCCAAAGGGGTCGCGACCCACAGGTTGAGAACCGCTGATGTAGAGACTCCCTCCCTGCTTTGTGGCACTTTAATTGGTCACAATAACGATATTGCCCAATTGTGGATTGCGTTTTTTTAATTTAGCCAGCGTTCTTTTATTCAGTTTTGCTATACAAAAAAGCAAATTGTCCTATCTGCTCTAACTAAATGTGTTTGTGTGCTGATTGTGTTTCCCTGCTAGGGGAATGCTGTAATTGAATACTTGCTGGTTTAAGATTGTATGTCTTTGCAAAGTATTGCAACATGAATTCTTTTCAAAATAAATTCCTTCTCGTTTGTCCCTCCATCCTGCCTTGGTTGAGATACTTCTCTCCATTTTATTTGGCTAGTTTTCAGTGTGCAAAGTCAGATTGTAATTTGCCGGTTGGCCAAACTGTTAAATGACCAGTAAAAACCTGCCAAAAATCCAGACTGTATTGATTCTCTCTCATAGCATTTATTTTGAGCAAAATTCCTGTATTTTCCTGTTAGAAATAGGTTGTGCCCATAACTGATATTAGAATCCTGAAAATTCTAAGAATATTATATCTCTTTTTTCCCATTGAGTTATTCACTGGTCTCAGTAGTCCTCAGGTTAACGACCAGTCATTCAGTGGCCATTCCAAGTTACAATGGCACTGGAAAAAATAGTTTACTAGTCCTCATGCTTACAACTGTCGCAACATCCTAATGGCCACATGATCAAAATTTGGGTACTTGTCAATCAGGGTGTATTTACAACATTTGCAGCATCCCCGAGTCATGTGAACACTATTCGTAACTTTCCCAGCTGTCTTCTAACACAGGGGTCCTCAACCTTGGCAACTTTAAGACTTGTGGACTTCAACTCCCAGAATTCCTCAGCCAGCAAAGCTCTGAGTCTTAAAGTCTTAAAGTTGCCAAGGTTGAGGACCCCTGTTCTAACAAGTAAAGTCAATGGGGGAAGATGGATTGGCCTAATGACTGTATGATTTACTCAACAACTACACTGACTCACTTAACTATGACAAAAAAGGTGATTAAAAATCAGGTGCGACTGTCTTTAACAATCACCTTGCTTAGAAACAGAAATTCATCTCCCAATTGAGGTTATAAATTGAGGACTACCTGTCTTTGATCTTTTGAGTGTCACAATGAAATTTCTAACCCTTCACAATCCTGACTATTTTTTCCCCCTTAATAATAACAAGATTGGATCACCCTTCTCTTTTGCAATAATGCATCATAAATCCTAGCTTTAATATTTCTGGGTTTGTGCCATTTTTTTTACTGTTTTCTGATTTCTTTTAATTCTTTCTTCTTTCTTCCCTGTGTCTCTCCAGGTAGCTATATCACAACAATTGGGGTCGATTTCAAAATCCAGACACTAGTGATTAATGGAGAAAGAGTGAAGCTGCAAATCTGGGATACGGCTGGACAGGAACGGTTCAGAACTATTACCTCCACGTAAGTCTAGGACACGAGGTGAATGGAGTGGTAGGGCCTGAATACTGAAGAGTGGGGATAAATTGATGAGAGGCCTATGAGAGAGCCTAGGTCAGTGGTGGCGAACCTATGGCACGTGTACCAGAGGCGGCACTCAGAGCCCTCTCTGTGGGCACCCGTGCCGTTGCCCCAGCCCCGCCTCCCCCCGCGGCCCCCTCCTCACCAGCAGCCCCCCCCAGAGAGTCGCCCCCGAGTACGGCCCGCGTGGAGCAGCACAGCCAAGGACCTGGCAGCTGGGCCACAGGGACAAGACTCCACTGTCGCGCCCCGTCGCGCGCAGTTGATGCTGCAGGGCGCGGGCGGAGGGGGGGCTGCCATGGCACTGCTGGGCTGCCTGGGTGATCTGCCGTGGGCCATGGAGGCGGTAGGTGGCCCTGTGGGCGGGCGGGGTGCCGGGGTGGAGCGGGGCGAGTGGGAGGCAGAGTTGGGGGCGGGGCAGGGCCAGGTTTTGGGCACTCGGTCTCTAAAAGGTTCACCATCACTGGCCTAGGTTTTAATTAGCTAGTCAGCAGTAAGCAACCTTTTCACATGATGATCCTCATTTACAATTTTGCAAGGTAAAATAAATAAAAGTTCAAAAAATTGTGCGAATGTGCTTCCTTAAAAAGCTACAAGATTTTTGATCCAGAATGAGAAATTATTTTAAAAAGTTGAATACAGGCAGTCCTCGGCTTACGACCACAATTGAGCCCAAAATTTCTGTTGCTAAGCAAGACATTTTAAGCGAATTTTGCCCCATTTTACGACCTTTCTTGCCACGGTTGTTAAGGGAATCACTGCAGTTGTTAAGTTAGTAACAGGGCTGTTAGGTGAATCTGGCTTCCCCATTGACTTTGCTTGTCAGAAGGTTACAAAAGGTGATCACATGACTGCGACCGTCATAAATATGAGTCAGTTGCCAAGCATCCAAATTTTGATCACATGACCATGGGGATGCTGCAACGGTCCTAAGTATAAAACGGTTATAAATCACTTTTTTCAGTGCTGTTGTAATTTAGAATGATCACTAAATGAACTGTTGTAAGTTGCGGACTGTCTGTACTTAGACAATGTGGTGGGATTCTAGCCATTTTTATTTTTTTATTATTTTAACGTTGGGGGTGTCTTCCCTCCTGAGGTTTTATGGACACCTCAGGGCTAATCACTAAACTAAATGTAACTCTTGGTGGGGCTACAGAACTGCTTCGAAACCTCTCGCTGAAGGAAGGAGAAAGATAGAGAATTATTTTCTCAGTTCAAAGCAAGTCGTTGTTTCATTTTCTTTGGTGCAGGTATTACCGCAACACCCATGGTGTCATCATTGTTTACGATGTGACAAATGCCGAGTCCTTTGTTAATGTCAAACGTTGGCTGCATGAGATTGGGCAAAACTGTGACAATGTGTGCAAGATTTTGGGTGAGTGGTTTTGTTACCAACCCGTCTTCCCCCTCATCTTTCAGTTCAATGACTGAGGTTGTGAGTCTTCGTAATTCTATCACATTACATTGGAACCTGATAGGGCTAATAGAAAATGCATGAAATTTTCTCCAATAGTTTTTATTCATACCGGAAGCAGAGGAAGTAGATTGTGAATACTTCATGGTGTCCTGCTTGTTTCTCAGGGGGTGAGGTATTTTTCTTATTTCAGGAATATCCAAACTAGAAAAGTATCTTCAGGGGCATTGAGGTTTCGGCCTCTTCACATGTCTGTTCACATGTTTACAATTGCTTAATTCTTCTTGGTTGCTCTAGAAACAAACGTAACTCCAGAGATATCTCATTGAAGGTTAGCTATGGAAACCTGATAGAAGAGTCTTTATTTATTTATTGCAATAGTAGCATTGCATTTGAGGAATTTTTTTGAGTTGCTATGGTTGCATCTAGGAGCAGGACAGGCAGTATTGTGTTTCCATTCTCCTTGTATTTCAGATTATGAAGCGCCGATTTGGGCCATTTGAACAAGTTTTTGGTTGGGGAAAGTATTCTACCCTGTCTTGGTACGTTCTTCCTCAATGCAATGTTCCAGCTACTTTATGTTGGAACTACAACTCCCACAATCCTCATGTTTGTTAGGACTTCTGTAGGCCCTGCCTACTTTGCAAGGTGATACTGTGGTGGGTCTTTGAGGATTGAAGATAAGCTGCTGGATCCACTAACTAATGCTTGGCCAAAGTCTGAACATTTGTCACATGCCTTTCACTTTGATATGAGCGATGGCTTACGACAAAAAAAGCATTGTGGTTTACTGACTGCAGGACAATTCTTTCTTTAACTTTCTTTATCTAATACTGCTAACTATTAAAATCTCTCAGCGGGTTTATAAAAGGGTAAAATAAAAATTCAGTTGAGATATTGACATAGAACTAAACCCAGTGACTTGGATTCCTAGAGAAGAAAAGATATGATATTTTTATCTCACCTTTCCCTAAAAACTCAAATGTAACAAAGATGAATATATTGCTTATAGAAAATTGTCCTAAACAAAATTAAAGCTAGTTTTTTTATCACATTGATTTACTTGCTTTATCCAAGAGATGAAGAACTAATTGGTCATCTGTTGTGGATTAGAAGGCCAAGTAAATATGGAATTTTGGCTTTGCCTATTGCAAAAACTGAGAGACCTTAGTTAGGGTTAATTCTTGCTTTGTTTGCTGCATTGTTCTCTGGTAAGCCAAACCAAAACCCTCTGTCTGCAAATCATTTAACCAAACTATGAATGTCTTGTTACCACAGCCACTCTAGTGAGTGAAAAGGCAAGTCGCTCTTCCATCTTAAGTGATTAGTTCACAGAATTATCTTCTTTAGAGTCTTTTCCCCAAAGTGTAAGACAGAAAAAGTACTATTTAATATTATCTGCTTACCAGTGCCTTTTAAAATGGGACACATGGAAATTGGGGCATTTGGACAACATATGCTATGCCACTGAACTGTGTCTTTGTGCCAAAATCCTTTTACACACATACAAAAAGGATCACTGCAGAAATCATTAAAAGGAGCCAGGTTGAGCTGCTCAAGATTAGGGAGAGGACTATAGCTTAAAGACAGTCTCATTGGTCTTAAGATGGGATAGGTTCAGAATGAAGACACAGTGGGCCTGAATTATCTGCTGCTTGTGCAGAATGTATCCCATAGTATATTAAAGGATTTGGATTGTTTTCATTGCTCTAATTCGCCTCTTCTCCTATCCCCTCAAATCAGTGGGTAATAAATGTGAGGACCTGTCACGGAAGCAAGTAGAGACAGCTGATGCCCGGCGGTTCAGTGAGCAAATGGGAGTGCGGCTTTTTGAGACCAGCGCTAAGGAGAACCTCAACGTTGAAGAGGTAGAGGCAGAGGTGGTTAGGAGGGCAAAGGTGGGAAGGGAAACGGAGGCCTTCGGTGTTTCCAGAGGGGGTGGCTGGGGCTTTGGGCTGAAAAAAACCTGATAAGATTTTTCAGTTTCCTTCCCCTTGTATATTCCATCCATAGATGTTCAACGCCATTACCACCATGGTGCTCCGAACGAAACAGGAAAACCTGGCACGGCGGCAACAGCAGAACGAGGTTGTCAAAATCAACAAGCCCAAAAAGAAGCCTTCGGTCAAGAAATGCTGCTGAAGGGACAGCCCCTGTAGATGCCCTTTTCTTTTGGAGGGGGGGGATGAACTGTGGGGAGTTGGGTGGGTGAAAAAAAATCATGGCTCATGTGATGTTGGGGATGGGGCTTCTGGATCTTGGTCAGAGGGGCAGGAGAACCAGTATGAATCCTCCTAGCCCTGGAATTCTTCTGTTCCCCTTCGCTGGGGAAGTTGCATTGTGGGGATAGAAAGCCAAATTGAAGCACTGCGTTCCCTGCCTGCTGATAGGTTGGGGTGGTGGTGTAGGTCGTGCTTACAAAAAGGGTGGGTGGGAAGTACCGAGCAGCATTAAAAAAAAAAGACTACTGAAACAAATTATTACGGTGATCAAAATAAAGAGAATGTGGGGCATAGCTGAGCCCAAAGAAATTGTCCTTCTCCCCACAACTGAAAAAAACCCCTCTTCTCTACAGTGATGCCTGCTCATTGTATTTTATTTCTCCACTTCTGGTCTGATGGCTGGGTGCTGGAATTGCAGAATACAACCGATATTCAAATTTCACTCATGGCAAGAATGCTGCAGGGTGAGGTAGAAGGTGGGCATTACGATTATTTTGGCGCAAGCTCGTCCAGGCTCTGTAGCTGTGCCTCAGTTTACATAATAATAGGAGGAAGTGGAAGAAATCCAGCAAAACTATTTCAGAATTTCCCAGCCGATAGTATTGGGTTTTTTCCTTCTCATCTCTCTTTAGACTTGCTCTGAATAGGAATGATTTAGGACCAAGCTATGTTGCTCTCCTCTTAAGATTTGGAGAGGTTTCCATCTCTTCATTAGCCCCATCCTTCAATCCAGATGTTGTGAGAAAATAGCCAACTGTCCACATGGTGGGTTTGAAAAAGGACTTTGTAACCTTTGCAGCTATAATTGGAGTACCATTCAGTCATTCATGTTTACCTCCAGAAACAAAGTAAGAAATGGAGGCATAAACTTTTAATATAGGAATATGAAATTATGTCTGGATTCAGCTGATAAGTTGCCAACTTATGATTCCCAACCTTTGGGTATTACAGAGAGACTGTCCCCTTTCAACATTGGGGCCCTCTGTACAATTTATTTGCTTCATTAATTATTTTATATACACCCAACTCTGTAGATAAACTAAAACATCTCATTTTAACCCACTGCTAATGGCATCAGACTTGTTAAGGATATACCACTATTCAATAAAGACATTTAGATATAAAAACACTTCTGCTTTTATTTGCCTGTTAACACCCATTCCTTAGGTACCAACAGGAAGAGTTCATCTTTATGCCAGCTCCTCTCAAATAACATTTGGCAGTGTAAAAGTGTTGAATTCTCTTCATCGGAAGCAAAAAGTCAAGAAAAAAAACTTAAATTCTTCCAACTTTGATGGACATTAAAAATATGTGCTAATCAAGTATAAAACAAGTGGTTGGAATGCCCATTTAACCCTTATTTAAAAGTATATTACAGTATCCAAGTAAGTATTCACTGATTGCTTATTGAAAGAGAAAATATACTGATATATATTGGACTTAGTTGCAGGTATACTGTACATTATGGGGATGGAAGAGATAAGATCAGATTATTGCAGCTGGCTAAAAACAACAAATGCCACCATGGCCGAGTAAAATATTTGTAGTGAAATGTTTATATTGACTGGATAAAGGTGCTTTTTGTTGACACAGCCAGAGAACTGAATTTCACTTCAAAGGGAAGTAAAATTAGGGTTGGTGGTTCATATTTCCATTTCCATTTCCTCTTGGGTTGACACTGCTTCTAGATGGGGCTGGACCGATGAGGGAGACATCAGTGTCCTAATGGTGTGCAAGAGGGAGTTACTCTGAGGGCTCCACAGGACAACTTCGGTACAAGGATTCCTGTGAAAATTAGGGAAGCTGATTAATTTTCAGTCCCTTTCTCCAGCAGATGGTGGTGTAGAGTCCACAGGATGGGTTAATTATGCAATCCTGCCTAGCAGAACTAAGACAAGAAAAAAACTCTTGCCACGCCTCTCTCTGGGTGTGACTTCCCCAGTTTTTTGTCTTAGTCAAGCTTAGCAGACGTGTTTCTTTGTTTTGCAAGGCTCCCGACTAGGCCTCATAGCCTTTTTC